AGAAATGTTACTTTCTTCATATTTAAACTTTTCTTAACTGGTAACTTTGTATCTATTGATAGAAACAGGATCAGTATATGGGTTGTACTAGAGGCACATTTTCAAGTAAATCCAGATCCTATGATCCTATGTCTATAATGAATGTAATACATCAATAATAGATACAAGATCATTACACCAAAAACATAGAATCAAGATACAATTCAATTTGATATGTTTTATACTATTTTTTATGTTCTCAAAATACCTAGAATTTCTCTCCTTCTAGATTGTCCACCATATGTTGGCTGGTATGATTCTCCACATACTTCTGCTTCTTTCCAGAACCCCAACTTCTTCCCAGTTTTGAAGGGCCTCTGTAACGTTTCCTGGCATAGTCTAAGAGAAACCTTTAAGGTTTATGAATAGCCTCCAAAGTTTCCATGTGATCTTGCAGTGAAGGAACAAATGTCGAACAGGTTCTGTCTGTTCTCCGCAAAAAACACATCTCGGACATAAAGTTATCCCCTTTTTCATCAGATTGTTTTCTGTAAGGACAACTTCCTTAGATACAAGCCAAATAAAACATGATACCTTGTAGGGTATATTCACTTTCCATATAGTTTTCCTGGGCTAGTTGACATTTTGTGACTATTCAAAAATTTGTATGCTTTGCCTACTCTGAAGGTTCCTGTTGCCCTACCACCAAAGCTCATCTTCCCCTTCTTGTGTTCCTTTAAACTGGTCAATAGTGTTAAGGAAATTTGCAACTCTTGTGATTTCTCAGTCATTTAATCGTTTTTTGAACTAATTCCCCACCCATCAGGTGTCCACATTCCTGCAATTGTTCTTTGCTAATTTAACATTAAGTTGTGAATATCTGGGTAGATATTCCTCAAAATCCCCATCTCATGTCAGTCATCTCCCCATAAGCTTGTCTTTTTTCCATTTCTAACCTTAACCTTGGTTTTGATCTTAAATCATCCCACAAGGCCCTTATAGATCTCCACAGATTCACTCATATGGGGAAAATACTTCCTTTGTCATCCACCTATTTTCTTCTTCATACTTGGCTTTGATGACTTTTCTCCATAACGGATGTTTTTCGTTAGCATATTTCCACAACCATTTCATTATGAGGGCATTGTTATGATTCTGCAGATTTTTAATACCCAACCCCCGTACCTTTTTTCTATTATCAAATCATTCCACTTTACCATATTGTACCTTTTCTGTCCTTGTTTCCCTGCCATAGGAACTTCCTTCTAATTTTGTCTAATTTGTATATGAGGCCTACGGAAGTAGGAAATATACACATCATGTATGTAGGCATAGCAACTAGGACTGAGTTAATTAGAGTAACTCTTCTTCCAAGAGACAAGTATTACCCCTTCCATTCAGTCAGTTTCTTCTCACATTTTTCTATTACACTGCTCCAGATCTCTTTAGTCATTGATTTAGCACCCAACGACATCCCAATGTATGTAGTTGGGAGAGCCCCAACTTGTCCACCTAGGATTAAGTTTAGTGCCTCCATGTTATGTACTTTATTAATGGGATAAATAAAACTCTTTCTCCAATTAATATGCAACCCAGAGATTCCTTCAAACAGGATCAATATTACTCTCAGATATTTGAATTGTTCTTCTTCAACCCCACAAAAGATTGGTATGTCACCTACATATTGCAAATAAGTCACCTCTATACTTTCCCTTCCATCATTGGCCATATCAAAACCTCTCAACCAGCCATTTGTGTTAGCTGTTTTGAGCATGTTGTTAAATCCCTACATCACTAGCATAAACAGGAAAAGGGACAGGCGATCACCCTGCCTAAGGCCCCTTCAAGCTCCAAAGAATCTTGTTGTTGCACCATTGATCAAAACAGAGAATTTCACTGAAGATATACAAAATTTTATCCACTTGATCCACTTCAGCACAAATCTCATCTTTTCCAGAACATTCAGTAAGTATCCCCGGTTAACATGGTCATAAGATTTTTTATGTCAAGCTTACACAATAATCCTGCTTTCTTCTGCTTCATTCTTGAGCCTACAGCTTCATTTGCAACTAGGACTACATCCATAATTTGTCTATCTTTAATAAATGTCATTTATGAAAATATGTCAATTTTTTATCACCCCTTTCAATCTCTCTGTTAGGACTTTGGAGAATGTGCTTTGAAATGTTTTAATGATATCCGGTCATTTTGATCTCAAAATACAAGTATTTCTATGACAATACGTATTAATAATTTAAAAGCACTTGTCTAAAAACTTTAATATAATATTATTAATTATATTAACAACATCATATATTATATATATGATACACACGTGCAATGCATGTGTCATGAAACTGATATATATATATATATATATATATATATATATATATATATATATATATATATATAAAACCTTATGCGGTGTAATTTGTGCCAACTGTGTATATTTAAAATTATTAAGAAATGAGGTATATGAGTGTAATATATAACTTTTTATCCTATTTAGTGTTTTTTTTCATTTATCATCTTATTCAAAAACTAAAAAGACATTGTTTCTCAAATTCAAAATCTTAAGGGGGAAAATGAGCTTTACTCTTTTATTTCGAAAAATCTATTCTTATTAGCTTATCAAAATTTGGAAAATATTATAAACCGTATTGAAATACTTATTTATTTATTTGACTAGAAACTTGATTTTCTTATCATATAAATTCATTCTATTACCATAATTTTTTAAATCATCCAAGAAATCTATTGTAATATATGGCAAGAAATTTATCATAACTATAAGAATTTTTTGTATAAATAATCATGTTACTTCAGTTTTTATAAGCACTACATTTTCTTGAGTACTTTTATTTAAATTTTTAAAAAATTATAAACAATATTGAAATACTTATTTATTGATTTGACTAGAAACTTGATTTTCTTATCATATAAATTTATTTTGTTACCATAATTTTTAACATCATGCAAGAAATCTACTTTTCATTGTACTATTTTGCTAGAAATTTATCAAAAATATAAAGAATTTTCTGTATAAATAATCATCTTATTTCAGTCTTTATAAGCACCACATTTTTTTGAGTGTTTTTATTAAAATTTGGAAATTTTATAAACCATATTGAATACTTATTTATTTATTCGACTAGGAACTTGATTTCTTACCTTATAAATTTATTTTGTTACCATAAATTTTAACATGATGCAAGAAATCTACTTTTTATTATACTATTTGACTAGACATTTATTATAACTATAAAGAATTATTTTGTATAAATAATCATCTTATTTCATTTTTTATAAGCACCATATTTTCTTGAGTGTTTCTATCAATAACTTATTTTTTTAAAATCATTTTTCTTCAAAAGTTAAGTCATGGCAGAAAAAAAGACTTTAGGACGTCAAAACGTTTCAATGGTCAAAATAGAAAATGAAGATGCTCGATAGGCAATATTTTCAAAGCTTCGTTCAACATTATATAAAAGAGCTACTGAATTAATTGGAAAATACGATGTTAATGTGGAGATAACATTATTTTCTCCGATCGATAAACGCTGCTCTTTTTTCACCCAACAATTGATGTTGTTATTGATCGCTTTTTCAGTCCAAATAGACAGCCAAGTGAAAGTGACTATATTGCTATTGCAAGTTCTCGAGACAAAGTGAAGAAAGTTAAATTTGAGCTTGACGAACTTGATATCATAAGAGGGAGTCTATCTGATCCGACATCTAGTACTAGAGAAACTGACATGAAAAAAATGTGGAAATTCTTCATGAAATTTAATTAAGAGGAGGTTGAACTCGAGCTTTAGTTGAACTTCGTTGATTTTGATTTGAAAAATTATTTATCGCAGCTAGAAAATGATGCTTCTTCCTCTACACAAGCACCTCCAGAAAATGTTGATTAATTACTTATTGATTCCTAATATATTGAACTTCATGCGCTATAATAATTAGATTCAAAGTCATAAATTTTGAACTTTTTTTTGTTTTTAAATTTAGTGATGTTACTTGAATTCATTAGTAATCTTGTTTGTTTGATGTTTAATTCGTTTGATAAAATAGTCGTGCACTATTTGCAATGTCTCTTTGTTACTTGTGATCTGGATGACTAGGTTTAGTCGAGCTTGCGGTGTTGTATTTTCTTCCTAGTTATATGAATATTGATTAGTGATTTGTGAATACTTGTGATCTTGATAAGAGAAGTTTTTTGGTAACAAACTATTATTTTTTTCAGTTTCCAACTATAAAAATTAGGAAAAATTACTTAATAAGATGTATGACTGAATGAAAATAATTTGTACTTCATTCAAGCATCTACACATCATTTTTATCCTATTTTTTTTTATTATTCCCTACCATTTTCAAAAATTACAAAAATTCTTCTTTTTCACAATTTCTCTCATTTTTTTGGATACATCACTTTGAACTACGTACAACCGCACGATTTTTTTCTTTTTAATGCCTAAATTCACTCCATGGTATTACCAATTATCTCTATCACACTTTTTGAATTTCAAATATTTTCTCTTTCTAACTCAACTTCGCCACAAATCCTCTCAAATCTCCCTCTCCTCCTCCACGACACCAATTACCATCCTCCGTCAACCTTTCTCCAGCCTCAACCTGGTGGTCCATCCTCATCTTCTTCTTCTTTTTTCTTTTTTTTTTTTTGCTTTCGAGATCAAATTATTGATTTTATTTTTGTTGCCTTTTCTTTTAATGTATCTAGTTTAACAATAAAAAATATATATTAAGAAAATTATGCGAACCGAAACAAGACAAATTAAAAATTTATGGATTAAGCTCAACCTCCCCAAGCCATCCCCATTGTCATCCATTAAGTAAATAGCTATCAAATAAAGAGTAATTGTTGGAAATAAGCGATACAAAGTGTTATTATATATTTTCAATATAGTTTTTTGACATTTTGCAACTGTGGATGCTCATCATGTAAGGTAAGAGAAGCTCATTGAAGTAAATCCGAAATGCCAAAACTTTTTAACAGAAAATAAAATTTAAAATCTAGATTGGCCTGGGGTATTCACATTAAAGATAAGTTTTATGTAACCAATTTTGCATCTCAGCAGATGATTTCATTCTAAACATTTACATTGAAAAGAAAAAACTAAATCTATATTACAGTAGCAACATTTCCAGAGTTCATAAATGTAGAGAATTTTAAGGGGATTTTAAAACCAAAGACAGGTGATACAACTGAAAACCATGAGGTTAGATATTTCTCAATTGCAACTCCACCTTGATTCACAACTGAAGGTTCATTACTGAAAAGCAGCTTCATCCACTCACTAGTCCCACATGGATGCAATGTGTACCATGGCCGATTCAGGTACGGGTGCTCCTATAGATAATTCACCATTTAAATTAACACACATCTCAACGTGGTGCATATATATATATATATTCCCACCAAGTTAACTTCATTCTAATGGGTACAAGGAGGTATATAAGAAATCCACTGAAATATATGGTAGAGGTTATGATTGTCAACTGATAACTAGAGGGGTTTTTGGTCATGATATCACTTGCAAGTTGAAGTTTGGCTACCAGTATATCGTATACTGGTGAACAATGTTGCTCTCAAAAAAAAAATGCCCATGTACTCATGTCAAATCCGCCACATATGAATAACTTTTGACGGATCCGACTCACTCTCCGTGGCTGAGCAACATAGCTGGTGAAATAATGAAAAACTTGTTTGAGAAGTATTTCAGGTGAAGTATGGCAATCACTCAAAATACTCAACTTCAACCACTTTTTTTATGAGGAAGAAAAAGCTTCCACCTTTTTTTACCAAGAAGGAATAATATAATATAGACAAACGTTGCAGTACTGCATCAATACACTATTCCTCTCGTTCAAGCAGAAAGAACCCTGAATTTTGTGGCCATGAAGAATGGCAGAGGTTAAAATGTAATGACAAACAAGATGATTTTTGTTATTAGAAAAAGAGTGGTGAGGGAGGAGACTTGGGGAGAATACTTATTAGTCCATGGGTATTTTGTGGGGATTTCAACACTACGAGGTTCCCATCAGAAAAGAAGAAGGGAGTCGGAATAACAAAAGCAATGCCAGATTTCTACAATTTCAAAGGAGAGGTAGAAATAAGGAATTTGAAGGCACAAAATCAGAGTTTTGGTGATGAAATGGCTATGGAGATACGCTTCAGAAGAAGAACCTCTATATAAGGAAGTTATTAGACAGAAATATAGGGAGGACAGTTGGACAACAAATCCAGTAGCCACTCCTTACGGTTGCCGTGTTTGGAGGTCCATCAGAAACTTGTGGCCAAGGATGTGAAACAATTCAAGGCTAAAAGTGGGGAATGGCAGGAAAATATCTTTCTGGAAGGACAACTGGCTCGGACAAGGCACCTTACAACAATCTTTACCAGACATGTACATTCAAAATCAACAGCAAGAGGCAACAGAGGCTAAGGCATGGTCTGAACAAGGATGGAACTTGTCTTTTAGGAGATATCAAAATGACTGAGAACTGAGGAGGGTAACAGAGTTCTATAATGTTCTAAGTCAATTTCAGGGTATCAATGGAGGTGAAGATGCTATAGTATGGCAAGGAAATTCCCAGAGAAACTTTAAGTTGACAGAAGCTTACAGGATTTTGAGCAAAGTTAATAACCAGGTTGACTGTTGGCCTGGAAAATGATTTGGAAAGTGAAGACACCTCTGGAAGTGCATCTTTCTCTTGGCTGGCAGCCAAAGAAAAACTGTGTTGACACTGGAGAAGCTGAAAAAGAAAGGTTTTAATTTATCCTCTATATGTTATTTATGTGGGGTGCAATCAAAGTCAGCCAACCATCTCTTTTTACACTGCAAATGGACATACGAAATACGGAAGATCTTCATCGGCTTGAGGGGAATCAGATGGGTGATACCAAGCAACAGAAGTGGGGCTGCTCTTAGCAGTTGGGACAGAGAAGAACTTCTGTCAAATCAGAAGAGAGATAGAGGGTTGTGCCTGCATGTATTTGGTGGACTGTATGGAAAGAAAGAAATCAGAAATGTTTTGAAGATAAACAATGAAACATTCAAAAGTTGAAGATGAATTGCTTATCTCTTATTATTTTTGGTGTGATGTTTAGTACAAACAGAAGATATTTTTGATGTTCTAGACAATATGTAACGAGCAATATAGGAAGAAAGTATGCTATAACCTGTAATGTTTTGATTTGGGGGACTATACTTTTCTGGTGTAGTATATCTGTTGATACATACTATTATCAAAAAAGTTAAACGTAGATAGATTACATAGAGACTATCGAGACATAATGGGATCAGGGTTTGATGGCTCAATGAATTTGAGAGAAAGAATATCAATAGTCTTCTTTATAAAAGAAGGCAAAACCACATAAATATACCAAACGCAAATTGAAATTACAAGGTGAGAAAACATGATCAGATTTCAGATTATAAATTAAGCAAACATACCTCCCGAGTAATAAAGGTCCATTTAGATACTGCCAGTTCCTGCGCAGTATAGGCAGGAAAGTCCTTTTCCAGGTCTTCTATTGCCAAGGGTTCTCCATCTATGGATGTAGAATAATCAGAATTATATATAGATATATATATGTCGGTGTGTAACTTACGGCATAAAATGATACAAACATACCACTGCAGTATGCACGGAAATAAAGTACTGGAACCCTAAAAGAGGAACTGTAGATGACATGAAAGTCGTAATGATGTCTTTCTTTGCTGTCCTTTTGAACCTTAAAGGAAAATCATGACAATGTCAACCATTTATAGTTCAAAAACAATTAAGAGATGAAACTGGAACAGATATATCAAAGCAAAGTATGTAGTATTGAAGATGGGAGCATGGATATGTATAAATGTTGACAGCCACATACTGTAATTGAACTACAAAAGATAATGAATTCAGACATAAAAGTCATTGTTGTAACCAATTGAAGGCAATTGATGTTTAGTTAGTATGGCTAGAGTACTTAGAGGAGCATATTGTTGTTAAGAGCACCACCATCTATCAAATTAACATCCATATCCAAAAATTGGAAGTCTTTAATGCCAAGGACAGGAATAAATGATCTCATTAAACTTATTGCCTGATTGCAAGAAACTAACATGTAAACCAATATCGTAAGATACTTGTATCCATAACTTTTTCTCTCTCTAAGTAAACACATTCCACACAAACAAAAACCTTAATACACAATTGTAAATTTTTCAGTGAGTCTAAGGTATAGCACCTTACGGAGCCACTGGACTGAGGCCTTCCGGCACATCCACTTAACCAAATTGCTCACCTTGCTGGAGCGGCACAACCCACTGACGGAATTTCTAGAGAAGTTCCGTGTGCCACCCCTGTAACAACTGCAAACACAACATCGACGGCAAAATCCCCACCCAGGGAATCCATCATCGCGAGAAACACCACTCACAACGGATGTCAGTGATAATACAACAACAACATACCAAGAGAAATTCCACAACTAGGGTCCAAGGAAGGTAGAGTGGACGCAGACCACCTAACTTATATTGATGATATTATTTTTTTCATTTTTCCATAGTGGAAGTAGTGGAAATAATAGATCAATGAAATTTATCATGAAATAGGTTAGAAGATATGAGAAATCCTCTTGTCAAATAGTTAACACGGATAAAGTTTCTTTAAAGCTAGTGCATACAAAATTAACAGAATTAGAAGATGCACTGGCTTCATGCATAAAAGCTTTTCTTCTACATATTTGGGTTGATGTATTTATGTAGGAAGAAAGATGATTTCTTACTTTAAGGATATGGTTGCTAAAGTTGTTAAAATATTGAATGGTTGGCAAGGTAAGATTCTTACTTACGGTGGTAGAGTGGTTATGATTTAAAGTGTGCTTCAATCTATGCCCACTTACATTCTTACTGTTATAAACCCCCTTGTGAGTACCCTGGACCTTCTGGAACAACACTTTGCTAGTTTTTACTGAGAATCCAGTGATAAGAAAGCAAAATATCACTGGAGATCTTGGTATTGGTATCAGAAACATGAATGACATCTCCAACCCCTAAGCCATCAAAAGATGGTGGAGCTTCACGGCTCAGCCTTCTTTATGGCTGATTTCTTGAGGGAAAAATATTGCAATAGTGTTTGCCCTGTGTCCAAGGCATGGACAAGCAGAAACTCTCAAACATGGAAATCTCCAATAAAAGCTAGGGAGAACACTTAAAGAAACATTCTTTGACATATTAATCTTGGTTGTTGCAGCATGTGGTGAGATAATTGGATTGAGAGGGAAGTTTTGGCAGACCTTTATCCTGGTAATATTGATTCCAACAAAGGCTAATGTCAGGGACTATATTGACAATGGAAAGTGGAATTTGGAGGAGCTTCGTAAGGTGCTCCCAGATTACACGACTCAATATACTAACAACATTTTGATATCTCCATGATTTTGCCATCTGGAATGTTACCCAAGATGCCCATTACACCAACTCTTCAACAACAACATACCCAGTGAAATCTCACAAGTGAGGTTTGAGAAGGGTAGAATGTACGTAGAACTCACCACTACCTCATGGAGGTAGAGAGACTGTTTCGAAAGACCTCGGCTCAAGTACAAGAAACAAGTGTATAAAGAAGAAGACAATGAAGAGAATCGAAACAAGAAACAGTACAAAAGTAGCCAAAATAGCAATTAATCATGTAACAATCGAAATGCCATAAAACAATATTAGGGTAGATTATTATTAACAAAATAAACCATGATAAGAATAAAAACAACAACTATAAAAATACAACTAGTACAATTGTAACATCAAACCACCCAAACCAAGAAAACGCTACACTACCTACTAGCCTTCTACCCTAATATGAGTCCTCCAAACCCTCTTATCTAGGCCTTGTCTTTGGTAACCTTAACCTGCATCATATCCTATCTTATCACCTCTCCTCAATACTTCTTCGGCCTACCTCTGCCTATCCTCATACCCTCTATAACCAACCTCTCACACCTTCTCACCACTGTGTCTATGCATCTCCTCTTCACATGTCTAAACTCATCTCAGTCTCGCTTTCCTCATCTTGTCGACCACGACGGCCTGACCCACTTTATCTTGTATATCCTCATTTCTAATCCTATCACTCCTAGTATGACCACACACTTCATCTCCACAATATGCATCTTCTGGGCATGAAATTTCTTGACTGCCCATCAATCAGTCCCATGCAACAAAGTCGGTTTAACCACCACCCTATAGAACATTACACCAACTCTTTAGCATGAAAAATCATCAGACAGCCCAAGTAGAACGACACCACACTTGAAAAACTATTGAATTAAATGTTTACCTTATAAAATTTCATTTCTTTACTTAGAGATTGATTCTTTGAAGTTATTTGATTATATATAATTTCAGTAACCAATTAGTCTCTAGATGCTTTTATTGTACTACACCTACTCGTGATACATTAAACCATGTTTTATTGATGGTGAGGCTGATTGTTATGTTTGGAACTTCTTTGGTAACCCTCTGGGAGGTAGACATCACTCTGTCTATAAAAAAGAAATTTAAATATGTGGGGATGTTAAAGACTAACAACAGCATACATAAACTGTTTCAACACAGGTGAGTAAGAGATAAATATTTTGAACTCACTGTTATTAAATAATAAAGTGTAGTTTCCTAGGTAAAGGAAATTACTTGAAGTATAATAATTTGAAACATACCAATATGGCAGTATCATCAAATGAATCTTCGTTAGAGCAAGTCAAATCTTCTGTTCCAGCTAGAACACATTCTTCCTATAAATGAAAAAAAAATCAGCAAAGTCCATGTGCATAACCTCTTAAAATAGGTCAACCGAAGACAAACCTCAGTTGTTATGGGAAGAATCATATTCTCCAATGATAAATATCCTTGTAGCTGCAGAAAAAAAAAGGAGTATTTATAAATATGAAAAAGAAAGATTGTTGAAATTGAAAGAAAAAATGCAGAAAGATAAACCTTGGTAGCAGCAAAACCTGGTTTATTTGGAAAGTTGATCCATGACCAGTGAGGAAACCCTAGATCAAAGTTGTTCCATATCTCAGAAAAAGTAGAAGCAGCATTGTGAAATTGAGTGGAGGTAATAGTGCCATCCCATGAGGAGGAGATAGATGTCATTTTTGCCTGCAATACAATATCTCTAACTCAATCTGCGATCTGCTAATATATACACAAAGAAAGACGAGAAAATTATGCTAAAGGTGTCAAATATGTCTCCTTTTTGTTTTTGGTTACCATTGATCAAGAGCGATGAAATCTTCTTTAAAACGTAATTAATTAATTATGGAAAAAATTAACATTTTTAATACTTTTTAATCTTTTATAAAATACAAAAAAGTACACTTTTATAATTCAAACCAAATCATTTTTAAAAAAAAATCTTTTCATCTTCCCTCCTCTCTTCTCTCTCTTCTTTTCTTCATCTTCTTCTTTAGAAATTTAAAAATTCATAATTACTCTTCCTCTCCAGTCCTTCATTACTCTCTCATCTTTCTAATCTGTAGTCATGTTCGACTAGAAATGGGTAAGTTATTTTTTGAAATACTTTACAATTTTGAAGTTTTTTTCTTGGACTGTAAAAACTGAATAATCGACTTAATGGTGTGTATTATTTTTCATTCTTGAAAGAAAATCAGTCAACTCAAAAAATCCTTATATTGAGGAAATGTATTTGTAATGTTATCATTCAGTGAGAAGTCTTTTTTTTTGTTGTTGTTGTTGTTCTTTTTTTTGGTCATTTTCTTAATATGATTTTTACGTATGTTGCCACATTTTAGTAATATGTTGGTCATCTGTTGCCACATATGATTCAAATGTTGCAATAATCAGTACAGACGTGTCAACATATGATACATCTGTCGCTACATAAGATGTATATGTTGCGCAACAGCAAGTACATATGTGACAACATAATGTTAATTTGTGTCACATGTTGCTACAGACGAGTCATGTGTTGCAACATGTGACACATGTTGCTACAGATGATTCATTTGTAGCAACATTTGTGACACATGTTGCAACAGACAATTCATCTGTAGCAACCGAAAATTCTTATTGATGACTCATTTTTACTATTTTAGGTTGTCCATCAATGGATTACCCCAACAGAAGAGAAATTGCAAATGTCATATCTAATAACTCTAGGGTTAGTTGAAACCATTTTTTATCCTGTTGTGGATAGAGTTAAAATGGTAGATGGAGCAACAACCATCAAAAGAGAGAAATTCCTAATGAAGTTAGTGATGACTTAGTTGTTTTTTATGTTGATGATGGTGTTGATGTTGATGATGGTGTTGGTGTTGGTGCTACTGCTACTTGGGTTGGTGCTTCTGCTGGTGCTGGTGCAGGACAACACGAAGAGGCTACCTCTTGTAGATGATGTTGTGGCTTTCTCTGTGAGAAGTGTAAGAAACATGATGAAGATTCTATCATGTATCTACAAAAATTGAGTGAAGTTGTCAATGAATTAAAAAACAAGAGGGGTGTGAAAGGCATTGTAACAAAGAATGTGTGGCATGCATGCACTCCAAAGGCCAAGCGAAGAAAAGAATCATTTGCCAAGGTAATGCAAAATTTGAAGAGGAAGATGTTTGGGGAAATTCCAAGGGCCGTAACGGAGGAAGAGGTGACGGAGTATAAAAAGTTGAATATTTATAGGCGTCCCTCTGTAGCTGAAAAAGAAGCAGTAATTAATATTATGTTATTATTTTTATTTTATTCTTAATTTCTTCTTCTTTTTTTAAATAACCATTTTATATAGTTTTCATGTAATATAATATTTTTAATTAGTTATTTTATTTAATATAAAATTATATTGTTGTTCTAAATATTTAAATAACATAAATTGCAAGAAAATATTATATTATATTTAAATTAATGGACAATTCAAATAAAAGTCATAATTGTCACGATCACATCCAACAAAGACGACTAAACTCCCACACAAGCTAACGCCCCTCTGAAATCTGAAATAATAAGTTTGATCGTCTGAATTGCTAAGGGCTGATGTCCAAAGCCAATGGTAACTCTGAAATAGAGTGGAAGGCTAGACTACCCATACTCCCCGCCTTCCGACTCAAGGCGTCTGCTATTTCTATTCCACCTTACCGGATAGCTCCTGCAGAGCTCAATGTTCAATTAGAGGACCTCTTAGGTAAGGTTTCATCTGTCTAAGTGTATCACCGTGGGGTGCTCATGTTTTTGTTTGTGAAGAAGAAGGACGAGACTATAATGATGTGCATTGACTGCTGGCAACTGAACAAGGTGATGGTGAAGAACTGTTACCCTATGCCTCATATTGATGACTTGTTTGATCAGCTTCAGGGTACCACCGTGTTTCCTTAGATTAATTTGTGGTTCGCGTACCATCCGTTGGGGATTAGGGCAGCAGACATGTCTAAGATCGCATTAAGGACTCGTTACGGCCACTATGAGTTCCTTATGATGTCTTTTGGGTTAACTAATGCCCCTGCCGCCTTCTTGAATTTGATTACACGTGTTTCAGGCCATACCTTGATTCACTTGTTATCGTCTTCTTTGATGACATGCAGGTATACTCGAGGAGTAAAAGTGGGCATGAGCAGCATTTAAGGATACTGGTCAAGACTTTAACAGACTAGCGACTTTATGCCAAGTTCTCAAAGTGAGAGTTTTGGCTTGAGTTTATAGCATTATTGGGGCACATGGTGTCCAAGGAGGGTATAAGGGTTGATTCGGTGAAGATTGAGGTTATTCAGGATTGGGACAGGCTCAATTCTGTTACTGAGGTTTGTAGCTTCGTCGGGTTAGAGAGTTACTACAAACACTTTGTTGAGGGCTAATCTACTATTACATCCCCTTTGAATCGATTGACTCGCCAGGATGTTCTCTTCCTTTTCACATGCTGCTATGGCTACTTTATGAACTCAATTTGTGAGATATTTTAAGACTTGATTTCTCCCTCGTTCTAAGTTCGAATTTGATAATTCTTGTGGCTATTTTGAGCAGTTTTTCGAGGATAACATCGTTGTATAGTCGGAATTAACTATAGACTTCATGTTCTAGTAAATTACTAATTTCAGCTGCTGTCCATTTCTAGTTCTTGAGAAAATTTGAGTTTTGGTTGAATGTTTGTGATGTTTTCGATTCCCGAATCGTGTCCCATTTTGGGACATAATCTCCGCGAATTGATTAGGACCAATTTTTGGGGTTAATTTCAAAATTTTCAGTGCGACTCCCACTTTCTTTGTTTTGACCTAGAGAATAGTTCATCTCCATTTCTCGCATTTTAAGTGTCAAAACATCCGTAATAATGGTTGATTCTATGTTTGATAGAGTGGTAGCGTTCCAAGACTATTTAAAAAGGGAAAGCTCCAGAAAAGTGATTTTGAAGCGTGTGTGGTCAGCCTACAGGTAGGCTATGGCTTCCGCTTGAGCATGTGAATGCATATTGATTAATTGAGATTTGGGTTAGGTAGTTATTGAGTCCTACATAGGTGTTTAGAAATCATGTTTTCAGCCTATTTCGAGAATTATCGGGTAACTATGAGAATGTTTTATGTTATTAAGGACCTTCTTTGTTATGTGGAGTACTTGTATGCTTGATTACTGTTTATTTGAAGCATGTTGGGCCTCAGTTTAGGTTTGACTAGGGTTTGCCTAAGAAATGCATGATTCGAAATCGATTGACCTTATGGTAGCATTCATTTTAAATTTGCAAATAAAGTTTTTCACTTAACTTTCAATTTTTTGTTGAAATAACAGTTTATCTATGATACATACTATTGTTAAACATTCAACCATTTTTGTAATTCAAAATGTATGTCCAAACATCGTACCAACATAAGACGAAGTGGAAGCCCTTGATTATCTAATATTCAAGATGCTCATACTTTTGAACCCTCCACAATAGCAGTTGATGCAACGCGGTTCAAACAAAAAATAGTTCACATTTTGAGGATTTCTCAACAAGCCCTCCTAGGCATTTGTTTAGGAAATCTTCACATGTGTCTGGTACATCATCTCCATCACCATCCAAAAGGAGAAAGAAAATTGATACACCTAATAAAAGGTGTCGGAACCTAAATCGTCAGAACAATAATGACCACCGATAAATCAGTCATTCTCAATGACAGATGAAGCACCTACTCCAACTTCTAATGTATCTTTTGTCCATATATCTTCACAAGTTCAAAACGATAAATCTGTGTATCCCGATATTGAAGAACTGAAACAACATTGAAGAAATACGTAAGTAATGAAATCAATTTCTTTAGGTTTATGTAAAAATATAAAACTGAATGTTAATTTTGTCTTGAATAAGTTGACAATAAATTCGAGTATCTTGTGAATTTATTAAATGCAAACCACTCTGAGTTGATGAATTCTAGGCATATGAAGGACGACCAATAACCAAAGGTACTGTGTTGTATATGTGTTTTGTTTGAGTGTTTTAACTTTCATAGGTCATTATATTCTAAATTTAATTGATGAAGAATTTGGTTGGCAAGTCTACGTCGTTCATGGTTGAAGTTTTCGATAAAGAAGGCGATGATGGACATCAAACAAGTACCTTTAGGTTTGATTACAACCAACCTCACCAATACAAATGGATTTTGTCAATAGTGATCAAAACATTGGTGTATCTGATTTTGATGTTAAAGGTCAGGTTTATTTTACTCTGTTCATTATGTATATCCAATTAAACAATTTATCAGTAACATATTTTGCTTGAAAAACATTTTGTTCTAAAAATACAAATTGAAGATACATTAAAGAACCATCAAGAATTAAGGACGTTTCAGAACATCAATCTTCATATGCAAATATTCATCATACTACAAAAATAATTGAGCATAAAAAGGTACTATTGTCATCGTAAATTTACTGTAGTATACATTAATTTTGTATTGATACATCAAACTATATCATTACAATACATTGTCGTTTAATTGGGTTTATATGATACATATATTTTATGTTTACATCTGAAATGTTTTTCAATTTTTGTGTGTATGATACTTTATATTTTTAATTATATGTGTATATGATAAATTCTGTTGCAAGATACATACTAGTGTGACTAATTAAAATTGTTTGTATATGATATACTTATACATCAGGTGTTTTGAAATATTAAAGATTGTACGTAAATCATAGTTTAATGTAATTTATCCTTGATACATTAGCAGTAGTTTGAATATGATTTTTTGTTATTTAATGTATCATAACTTGTACAATATGTTATTATTCAGGATGATGCATCATCA